GCCTCACCCTTTTGTCCTATGGGTCTCCAGTCCTGCTTGGAGGCAGAGCCTGACCTTAGACAGATGGCACAGGAGCAGAAGCCAGACTACAGCTCCCTCAGCACAGACCCCTTCCTTAGCCAAGGTCCCGGCTGGGCCGCGGTCTGTGAGTTTTACCCCCCTAAGGCAGCACCCGGATTCCAGGGACCTGCTTCACCAGTGGCGCTCCAGAGGATCATGGGGAAGGAATTCTTAGAGATTTTGTGCCCCACCTAGCCCTGCTCTCGCCCAGCGGCAGCAATCTTCTCACCGCGTGAAGGCAGCGCTGGCCGGCCACCACTAGAATGTGCCACAACAGCTGTTGTGTCCTAGTAGGCACTGGACCTTGATGTGGGACCCAGGAACAGTAAAAACCCAAGAGCAAGGTCACTGAGGAGGGTCACCCAAGGAAGGGGAAGCATTTGTAGGGCCTAGGGACCCTTAGACTTCTCTTTCCCTGTCTCCCACCAAGACTGGCAGATTGGTCTCATTCATTGGTTCATCAGGCAGCCTGAGGCACAGCCTCTTGCGACCCCTGCTGGCCCCCAGGGACCTTTTCATCTGAGACCAATCGGGATTCCCGCATGGGACAGGGTCATTCCCTACATCCCCACCCTCACTAGCCAGTGGCCCTCACCCCACGGTCAGACTCCTCATGGCGCAGGAGCAGTGTTTGAGCACATTCCCTCATTAAATAAGAAGAGAGGTGTCAACGGGAACCATAAGCAGGGAACTGCGGGCCTTGTGAGGCCCCCTAACCTGGACCACTGAGGGATGACACTGCCTCCTCCTTATAGCCCAGGCTTGAGCTACACACGTCAAACCCAGAGGTGCACAGAGCCCAGAGCAAGGAGAACAGCAGACACGGGCCCTGACTCACCCATCAGGCTGAGACATAAGGTGTCACAGCAAAATCCTGCTCACCAACCAGAGGGTGGCAGGAGGCCAAGCGGTGGCTCTGGGGGATAAGCTAGGATCCTGGATACCAGGAGTGAAGAGTGGGCTTCATGGCATATGACAGGCTGGCACTCCACCCATCTATAGCAGTCAGAGTCCCCGGTCCTTCACCTGGGTTTCAAGAGAGGACACAGGGAGAGGAGGGGCTGTGACAAGCTGTCCCGACAGGAGCAAGCAGGGGAGCAGGCTGAAGCACCCGCAGCCTGAGTCGATGAGGAAACGGCCTCAAATCAGACTGGCTTCTGGGTATCTGAACAGGGTGTCCCAGAGGTGTGCCTGCCTCTCTCTGGGTCCTTACAAAAAACATGCATTGATTTCTATTTGACGTGTAAGTATTTCATCTGCATGTACGTATGTGCACCACAGGTGTGCTTGGTGCCCACACAGGTCAGAAGAGGGTGTCAGATCCCTTGGAACGGGAGTTATAGACAGTTGTGAGCTGCCATTGGGGTGCTGGGAACTGGATCCAGGTTCTCTGCAAGAGAAGCCAGAGCTCTTAACCAATGAACCATCTCTCCAGTCACCTTACCCCCTTTTGGAGAGGATTTCATTGTATAACCCTAGCTGGCCTAGAACTCTCTATGTAGACTAGGCTAGCTTTGAACTCACGAGTTCTCCTTAGTATTCTGAATGCTAGGATTAAAGGCAAGCGACCACACCTGGTGTGTTGTTTTTATTTTTATGTGTGGGAATGTTTTGTCAGCATGTATATATGTGCACCAGGTGTGTGCCTGGTGCTGGAGAAGAGACTAGGGTGTTAGCCCCCATGTTGTGATCCACCATGTAATGCTGGCAATAGAACCCAGTCCTCTCCAAGAGCAGCCAGTGCTGTAACCCCTGAGCCATCTCTCCAGTCTCCCTCTCCTCTATGCTTTTTTATTTATTAAAGATTTATTTATTTTTATGTGCATTGATGTTTTGCCTGCATGTGTTTGTGTGAGGGTGCCAGATCTCCTGAAACTGGAGATACAGACAGTTGTGAGCTACCATGTGGGTGCTGGGAATTGAACCTGGATCCTCTGCAAGAACAGCCAGTGCTCTTAATCACTGCGCCATCTCTCTAGCCCTGCTTTTTTTTTCTTTTTTAATAAAAGGTCTTGCTATGTATCCATCCTAGGCCAGCCTCAAACTCACAATAATCCTCCTGCCTCAACCTCTTGAATACTATAATTACAGGCATGTACTATCATGCCTGGCTGGGGCCCTTTGCAATTGGCCCATGCCTGTCACCCTTGGGTGGATTGTAGCTCTCCTCTCTCAGCAGCCTGTAACTTACTTAGGACTGGGGGGTAGAGAGCCACAGTGGAGCAAACAACCCAACCTTCTTTCCTTACCACAGAAGGGTAGAGCTGGGGTTCCAACTACCAGCACTGGCTCTGTGGAACTGGACTCCACCAGGCAACTCCTCTCCTCTGATCTTACTTGCTGGGCAGGTGCCCCGAGTTTTCAATTGCTTCCCTCAGATTATTTAGCCACAGCCTAGGCAATCGACACTCATGGCTTCTCTGGTCCTGCCCTGTTCAGCAGTGACAGGACCACCACCAGCTCACAGCTGACCAGCCTCTAAAAGGACCATCACCTCCAAAAGCCCCCAAACCTGGCCATTCCCAAGGGAAGCTGGTATCCTGCCTCTCACTCCCAAAGCACTGCCCAGAGAACAGGCCAATCCTGTCACCTTGCTCATGGCATCCCACCTACCCCTGCTCAGGGACATCACAGGTGCAGTTCACTCTCTCCTTCGGCCCCGAGGACACAGGCCTTCACCTGGACACAACCCCAGATTACTCCTTTCTCCACTCCACAACACTGAGAACTCTGGGGGTTACATCTATACCCACTCCATCAATCCTAGGCTCCTCATCTGCTTGAATACGCTCAAGGACGGGGGGGGGGGGGGGCTCATGACTAGACAATGGAGGAACAGCTCCAGACGTTGAAAACGTCTCTATATAGAATCAAATCTCGCCTCCCTAGCCAGGCCCTAAAGAGCAAAGCAGAAAGCATCACCTCTCTCCCTGGTGGCTGTGTGGGACCCTAGAGCAGGAAGTCCTGACTGAGGCTCAGGCCCGGCCCTGACGAGTCATCGGCACAGCGTGTTGGTCACTCTGCGGAAATGGAGTTGCCTCTACCACCCAGAGTGGGCTGCTGGCATAAGGCACACGCTGGGGCTAGCGTAGGATTCTGAGCAAACACAGCTTCTACGTCAATATTCCCAAATCCTTCAGTGGTCCAGTATCGGCCCTCTGCCATGTCCCCTTATGACCCAAATTGCGGAGCAGACTTACCAGAACGCTTGCCACAAGGAGGCCCAGCAAAGAACAGGGCATCAGTCACCGCCCTACGGCTATTTTGTGGGAGGGCTAAGGACACCCATGACACTCACCTGCCTTGGTCACCCCCCACCCCCAGTGTGTAATATGCACTTATCGGGCAGAGTCTGGTATGGAGCCCTGTGAAGTCTCTCTCTCAGGGAGAGACAGAGGGCACACCCAAAGCCTGGGAGATAGGCTTGCTGATTCCCCCCACACAGTACGGATGAAGTCCATGATGGCATCGAGCATTCCCATACGCCATGGCATGCACACCGGGCACTGCACTAAGCATGCTACACAAGGGGCTTCTTTTCATCCCGGACAACTGAAAGAGGCGCACTGGCCTGCCCAGGGTCAGACAATTGCAAAGAAATCCTGGAACTCGACAGTATGAGCTATGTATGCATCCTCATCCTGGACAAGGAGAAGCAGTACCACGTCTCTTTAGGGTCTCCACGGCATACAGCCCTGCCACTCAGGACAGGACACGTAGAGTGCTCCTAATGCAGCCCACCTTCCTTCTCTTCAGGGTCTGTCCTCTAGGGACCACTCTCCCAACACCCCTCCCCTGCTCACTCTGTTCTCTGTCTCCACACCGCCTATTCCCAGGACCAGAGTTGACTCAAGAAAGTCCACCATGGTTACCCTGGCTCCAATGAGTTCCAGAGACGGAAAGCCGGGGTGAGGCAGATCTCAGAAGTCCCAGCACCCAAGGGAGCCCCCACCAGACTCAGGTGCAGCCCTGTCTGCAGACGGCCTTTCCTGCTAGCAGCTCCTGGTGCAGCTGGAGATTGAGACCTTGTCCTCAGAGAGTCTCACCCTGGGGCAAGCTCCACCACGTAGGCAGGTTCCTTTGCCTCTCTGAGCCTGAGCTTCTCCACGGCACCTGGTACATCACCACAGTGCTAAGTCAAAGCACCAACAACAATCTTCGTCATTCTCTCCCCGAACCCTGTCCCTGTCCTCTCTGCCTCCACATTCCTCTCTATCTATCTCATCATCCCCTTCCCTGGTCCACTCCTGCTTTCTTCCTGTTACCGCCCATACCTCCACTTCCGTCAGGGTATCCTCTCCTTGCCAGAGATGACCCCATCGTTACAAAGGAGCTGAGCTGAAACCCAGCAGGCGAGGGTATGTCTGAAGGCTACAGAGGGCCAGCTGCTGAGACCAGCCCTCTTCTCGTGCCACTTGGGGCCCTGTGGGGGGTGGGACAGTGTGTCTTGTCCCTCTGTCACCCCTTCAGGACAGATGCTTCAGGCTCCCAGCAGATGTGCTGAGGGAGAACTGGCCAGCTTGCTTGCCAATCTGGGGGAGAGGCAGCCAGCCAACACCAGAGCCCAATGCCAGGCACCACCCGTGCCAGCAGATTGTATCTGACATCACTGCCGCCCCCTTGCCTGGTGACCACGGCAACTGGAGGCCGCCCCCTTCTCTTTCCACCCCCAGAACAGTCCTCATGTTCCTTCTGACCATGGGCCTCCTGTACCGGATGAATGGTGGCGGTGGGGCGGCATTTTAAATCTCCCCCACAGCTGGCAGGGCCAATCTGCGTGGCGGTAGGAACGTGGGCGCTGGCTTTGCACACCTGACTCCTGGGTTCGGATCCCCAGACTACCACTAGCCGGCCACGTATTCATAGGTCAACCATTTCACGTGTCTGAGTCTCAGTTTCCTCATCTATCCATAGGTGAGGGGATTAAGGCCAGGACCTACCCCAGAAGAGAGGAGCAGGCTGCTACAGCTCTCAAGAGCTATTGTCACACAAATGTGTGCCAGGAAGGGGCTGCCTCTAGGAGTGTGGGGCCTTGTCCAAGTCACAGGACCTCTCCGATCCTTGGTATCTTCATCTGGAAAGCAAGGTGACAATACCTTCCCTGCTGAGCTGCCACAGCCTTGGGTAAGCGCAGAAAACGTGTGGCACGGAGCCCAGGGCATCAAAAGATATTCTTGCTGCCACCTCTCTCCCTGGCTCCCTTCTTCTCAGTTTATCCAAGGCCAGTGGCCCCCCTCTTCTCCCCTCTGCCATCTCCACGGCTGTACTCAAGCCCCACAGTACCCCAGAACAAAGTCCAGGTCTGAAGTGCGGCCAGGTGCCGAAGCAAACCCTGGGGACCGCTTGGCTCCCATCTTCTCAGGCAGTGACAAGGACCCCATGAGGCTGATCTTGTTTTGATTAAAGTCCCCCCACTCCACTGTTCCTCGCCATGGACACCTTCTCGCCTCCTAAACCAGCCACCCTGAATCTAGAGGGCACCGCTATGCCCTGGCAAGGAGACCATGGATGTCCTGGGAAGTGAAAACTTGTCCTCCCTGCCCCAAGCTATCCAGTCCCCTACCTTGGCAGCCCGGCCCTTGTCCATGCAGGCTGGGTTCTGGCAGCGCAGCCCCTTCTCTTCTGCTGGGCTCTGGTCTTCTGTGGAGAAGCAGAGGGCATCAGTTCATGGATGGTGGCGGGGACCCACCCTCCCCTGGGCCCTGGTGGCCTCCAGACCAGGGGACTGGTAGGGCAGACTGCTCAATCCTGCCTTCAAAGGAAGTCAGTGTCCTTTTCTCTTTTAAATGCCAACTTATCTGCAGGGGAATCTGTTTGCAGAGCCTTTTTCTGTGCAGTTCCCCGGGGAAATTGTCCAGATTCCAGGGGGGAGTCCTTGGAAATCAGCTACTCCCTCCCTCAGTCCCACCAGAGGGAGGGGGGTAACTCAATGGTCTCCTGGGGCCCCAGACTTTCTAAGCTATTCCAGGCAGGGCCACGGGGAGGGAAGAGGGGTTCAAGGGTCCAGGATGCCCTTCCTAGCCTAGTTCACTAAACTCAGACCCTTTGAAGCTAGACATTCCCTTCCCGAGGCCTGGGGCGACCTCTGTTCCCCGCTGTCCATCTCTGACCATGAGTTTGGCCCCCTCCAAGCTGATGCCTTTTCTTCTCGGAGGCTGGGGCGCCGCAGCGAGGGGGCAGGGGCGAGGGCAGGGCAGCTGCAGCCAGCCCCGGGTGCAGAGGCCGGCGTCCACCGGGCTCCAGCAAGGCCCTCCCCGGGGCAGGCCCGGCCCCCACCCCGCGCGGAGCCCTCCGAGCCACCCTGGCGACCAGCCGGCCTGCAGGGCGGGAGCAGACGTCCGCCGGGTCGCACTCACCCATGGCGCCGAGCCGCCCGGAGCCGAGCGCGGGAGCCGGGAACCGAGCGCGGGAGCGGAGAAACCGAGCGCCGCGGCCGTCTGGCGCGCGAGGCGGGGCGGGGCAGGTGGGCGGTGGGAGGAGCGCGGGGCGGCCCGCGGGGGGCGGGGAGCCGGCGGCCCCCGACGGCGCCTCCCCCAGAGACGGGGTGTGTCCCAGGTGGGGTCCCAGGCCCGGCCCTGCTCCCCGCCCCGCAGGCCTCTCCACGGATGGCCGCGCGCGCGCCTAGTGCGCCCCGATTCCTCTCGGCCTCCTGCATCGTGGGCCGCACGGCGGCGGTGGCAGCGGGGGCTGCTGCTGAGGCCGGAAGTGCCTCCAAGGAGAAGGCGCCTCCTGCACCCAGACACGCGGGTCGGCGACACACACGCACCCCCACTGCTCCATGCCGCGCCCCCACTCTTTCTGAAAGGCTGCCACCCGCGGTCCCAGGGTCTAAGGACGCGGTGGAGGTGGGCGGGCCAGGGGCGGGTGGCCTCCTTGAAAGGCAGCTGCTGTGGTTTTAGTGTTCCAAGCTCAGCAAACACACAGAACTTAAGTTTCGCAAAATTGCCAGCATTCCCCCAAGCAGCTCAGCACTCAGAGACCGCCCCTCCCAACCCGGCAGGCCCTCACGGGCTGGGTTTTTTCGGCTAGTTAGGAAGGTTTCCCTAATGGTTTATGGAAATGAGATTACCAATAGGTGGACAGCTTTTATTGTTGGGTTGTTTTGTTGTTTTTGAGTCAGGGACTCACTGTGTAACCTCGAATTTACAGAGATCCACCTGCCTCTACCTCGGGAGTGCTGGAATTAAAGTCGTGCACTCCCACACTCCCCACAGGGACAGCGTTTTTTTAAACCCTTGTTTAAGAAGCCCAGGATAAAGGATTTTGCTGCCCAAGTCTGACCCCCAACCCAAGATGGAAGGAGAAATCCAACTGTCCTCCGGCCTCTCTGCAGGCACGTTTTGGCAAATCTGCAAGCACACACACACACACACACACTAAATAGCTCTGGCTAACCTTGAACTCACAGAGGTCAGCTCTTCTCTGCAGCTCAAGTGCAGGTATTAAAGGTGTGGGCCACCACACCCAGTTTAGAAGGGGGACTTTTGTAAAACAACAAAACTCCTCAGGGTAAGGAGAGGCCCTGGGGCAAAGGGCTGTGGTGCAGGGGAACCTGAGGCCTTTGGGCTGAGACGAAAGCTTTTGCAGCCGCCCCTCAGGCTTCTCTAAAGACTCTGAGACCACCCCTGCACTTGGCTCACTTTCTCTGGTCCAGCCACACACCATAGAGCAGGGACCTTCTCGGAGTCTCTGCCGCTCCAGCTGTCCAGCGCACAGGTGGGACTGACCCTCAGAAGACCCTGACCAGGCTACCTGGGTCACCAGTCCAGCTGACCCCAGCTGCCTTGCCTTTCAGGGGCTAGCTAACTCCACGACGTTCACAACTACAGCAGCCATGGGGGGGATTTCCCATGCACCCCACCCAAAGAGTTTGCTCCTGGAAGATTCCAGGCCTCTGGGTTCTTAAAATATCAGTCAGTTTCTAGCATCCTTTGACCCCAAAGACCTCAGAATTCTGAGTCCTTATTCATTCTCCCCAAACCCCTCCCCGGGGTTTTATATAGCCCAACCTTGAACTCATGAAAAGGCTGAAGATGACCTAGAATCTCTGACGATCTTGGCTCCTCATCCTAGAAGCTGGGATTACAGATGTGCACCTTTTGTTTATCTGGCTCCTTACTCAGGACATTCGGTTGTTCCTCTGCCACCAGAAACCTTGTGCCCTTTAAGTCCTGCTACACCTGTTCCAGGACAAGCCACCAGACAGACTGTGGTGGCCACAGCCTGAGGATGTACTTCTAGATGTATCTCTCCAGTGTCGTGTCCCTCACTCATGTTTCTGGGTGCTATGGCCTTTGCCTCCTGGGCTCATGTTCAAAGCACAAAGTCTCATGGGAGAAGGACTTTGGCATGTCTCAGGGCCCAGCGTGGTGCCTGGGCTGAGGGAGCAGGCAGAGAGACAGACAAGCCCCCCCCCAACCCTGTCCAGGGCAAGCATGACCTCCCTTCCAGGAAATCTGCTGTCCCTGAAACCCAGGTGGAAAGGGTGGGCCTGGAGGGCGACTTGAGGGGACACCTCCTTCTGTGTTGTCATATCTTGAACACACTGATTGGGCAGAGGTGGCCACCTAGCCTAGCTAGCTTGGCCAATTAGATCTGTTCTCACGAGAGTTTGAACTGGGCCCTGAGGGCTTAGAGAGTCAGTCTGAGTGGACAGGAAGCCTCAAGCTTGTTGGGAAGCAGTGAGAAGGGGGCTTTCAGGAGAAACTAGTCAGTGGAAAGACACGGGGCAGAGAGGATGAGGAGGTCTGCCACTGCTACCTGTCCTGAGCTTACCCAGGGCTCCTGTACCTTAACCCGGCCCCAGGCAGACCTGGAACTCTGAATTTGCTCTTCCTTGACCCCCAGCCCCACCATGCTAGAGATCATCTCCCTGAGTCTGAAATGACCCAGCTGACCTTCTGCTCCTCTGGCTCCTGCTAGCCTGAGGAAAGTCAGGGTCACTCATCCAGGAAACAAGCCCACTAGCTCCTCGCCCCCTGTGTTAGTCACAGGACACCCAGCTTTGGCTCCCCGCTACCCCCCACCCTGCAGCACGTTCTCTACCAGAACTAGGCAGAAGCCAGAGCCGGCAGACGTGTTTTGTTTGGCTGAGCACAAGATTTCAAAAGAATCTCAGTTGGTTGCCAACTTTGAAAAGTCAGTAGATTTTACATAAAAATCCAGATTGTTGGCTCCCCTTGACAAACCAGAGGAGCCTGGCAGCTCTAGATCCATATTCCAGAAGGTTCCAGTTCTCAAGTGGTGTCTGTCTCAGATCGGTTCAAACCACCGCCATCCAGAAACCTTGCTACACCCTGTGGCTCACACCAGCCCCTCCAGGGCTACTTGGGCACTTTCCAGGGCTCTCTTTAAGGCCCTTTCTGCACTGGCCAACAAAGTCTTGCCCATTCTTCTTGGCTCGGGAATGCTGTTTTCTGCCCTGTTGCAACACATTTTAGATCCAGGTGGATCTCCCTGCTTGACCCGCCCCACCCCCTGTCCTGGTCTGTGCCTTTGAAGCAACCTATTATTTTCTCCCCGTCCTCTCCAGATAGCTCCCAGAGCAGCCCTCACGTGTTGAGCACCGAAGGGAATTCTGCCTGCTCCCTTGAAGGCTTCATTTCACAGTCAAACCTTTGTGGCAACTGCTAGTCCCAGATGGGAGCCACTGGCCCCTGCAGTGAGGCAGCCCAGGCAAGCTCAACATTCGGGCGCCCTGTGTATATGCAACCCGAACCAGATCCCTTAAGAAATAATTTATTTTGTATGTATGTATATGTTTGTGTGCTTATGCACATATGTGCAGGTACCTGCAGAGGCTAGAAAAGGGCATGAGCCTGCCAGCTTGGGTGCTGGGACGTGAACTCAGATTCTCTGCAGGAGCAGCAAGTGTTCTTTGCCACTGATACACCTTAGCAGTCCCTTAACCCATCTTGAAGACTTAGTGTGGGGTTGGGGGAGAAGGTAAAATGTTTCAATGATGTTTGTTTTGGTTTGGGTTTTAGTTTTTTGAGACAGGGTCTCTATCTAGTTCCAACTATCCTGAAACCCCACTAGGCCTAGCTGAAACAATGTATTTCTAGAAAAAAAATTTCAGCCAGGCAGTGGTGATGCACGCCTTTAATCCCAGCACTCTGGAGGCAGAGGCAGGTGGAGGGACAGGTTCCAAAGCTACAGAGAAACCCTGTCTCAAAGCCAAAATAATGATGATGATGATGATGATGATGATGATGATGATGATTGAAGAAGACACCTTACAACAACTTCTGACCTCCACATGCATATAATACATACAGTCATGTATATATGCCATACACAAAAGCAGTTAAAGAAGGGGAGAGAGAGAGAGCAAGAAGGCCCAGCACTTGAGAGCACTGACTGATATTCCAGAGGACCTGGGTTCATTCCCAGTACCCACACAATGGCTCCCAACAGGCTCTGTATCTCCTGTTCTAGGGACTCTGGTGCCCTCTTCTGACCTCTGCGGGCACCAGGCACACAAGCAGCACACAAACAGGAAGGCAAAACACCCACATACATAAAATAAATAATTTAAAAATTAAACTGAAATTGAGGCCAGCCTGGTCTACAAGAGCTAGTTCCAGAACAGGCTCCAAAACTACAGAGAAACCCTGTCTTGAAAAACCTAAAAAAAAAGTTCTATTGGGTGGACTTGTTTCCAAACACTTGAGAGTAGAAGTATGATCACTGCCTCTGTTTATACATGAAGAAACTGAGTCATTCTAGACAAGCAAACTCATCTAAGGTTACAAAGGCAGCCAGCCAGTGATGAGACTGGAACCAGCCTATGTCTCTAGGACTTCAAGCCTGACCCTAACCATCAGTCTACAGAGCCACCATTGTGCCCGGCACAATTAGGTATTAAACAAAAATAAATAATCCTTCCAGCATGAACGAGCGCCTTCCTTCTTTCCCCGTGGGCCTTGGGCTAACACAAATGCACCTGTCCTCAAATTCTCCGGCAGAGCCCTCATCTCGGGGCTGGCACACTCCCAGCTGTCTACTACCTCCCAGCCCCAGGGAGGACCACCAAAAGGCTGCCCCTCCCAGGAAAGAGCTGTGACCTTGGATGCCCCCTCCCACGCTAGCCCTGCCCTCCCAGAGGCCTGTCTATGCCTGAGCAACTGTGCCAATCCTTGATGGGATGCAGTACTCCCCAGCCCCTCCCCCACACATACACACTGAGAAGGCTGAAGAAGGCAAAAATTGTCTCAGAATAGGCCAGAAGCCAGAGGGCTGTGCCCTGAACCAGTGACCACTGGCCCGGATATCTGCCACTCCCGCTAGCAGACCCCAGTCTGGGCATCCCAAAAAGCCTAAGGGAGAAATGGAACAGGGCCGGGGTGCAGCTCAGCTGGTAGGATGCTCGCTGAGCATGCAGGAAGTCCTGGGTTCAATTCCCAGCCCTGCATGTGAGGTGTGGCAGAGCCGCCTATCCCAGAAGCTCACAGGCTGAGGGAGATGTCAGAGCCAACATCAGCTACATAAGGCGTTGACACAGATTTAGATGTCCCTGGGAACATGTCAGTGGAGGAGCTGCCGCCATCAGACTGATCTGTAGGCAAGTCTGTAGGGTGTTTTCTTAAATTAATGATTCTATGGGAGGGCTGGTGCCACCCACTGTAAGGTGGTCTAGGCTACATAAGAAAATGAGCAATGGCGAGCAAGCCAATAGAAGCATTCCTCCGCAGCCGCTGCTTCATCCTGCCTCCAGGTCCCTGCCTCTGCTTCCCCTGATGGTGGACTGCAAGCTGTAAGTCAGATAAACCCTCTCCTCTCCAAGTTGCTTTTTTTTAAAAAAGAGATTTATTTATTATGCATACAGTATCCTGCCAGCATGTATGTCTACATACCAGAAGAGGGCGCCAGATCTCATTGTAGATCATATGGTTGCTGGGAATTGAACCTAGGTCCTCTGGAGGGGCAAGCAGCCAGTGTCCTTAACCTCTAAGCCATCTCTCCAGCCTCTCCAAGTTGTCTTTGACCGTGGTGTTTTTTCACAGCAACAGAAACACTAAGACAGAGGCCAATCACTAATACATGAAACCCCGTCAGAAAATAGAATCATTGAGAGGCAGCGGTGGCACACGCCTTTAATACTAGTGCTGGGGGGGGGGGGGGCTGGAGAGATAGCCCAGTGGTTAAGACCACTGACTGCTCTTCCAGAGGACCTGGGTTCAATTCCCAGCACCCACATGGCAGCTCACAACTGTCTGTAATTCCCTGTTCCAGGGGACTCAACACACCCATGGCAAAAACACCAATGTACATTAAAAAAAAAAAAGAATAAATACAGAGGCAGGTGGATCTCTGTGAGTTCAAGGCTAGCCTGATCTACAGAGTGAGTTCCAGGACAGTTGGGACTGTTACACAGAGAAACCCTGCCTTGAAAAACCAAAAAGAAAAAGGAGAAAGAAGGACAGAAAGAAAGAAAGAAAGAGCAAGCTTGAGCCCCTTCCCAAAGTGCTATGGCAGTGTTTCTCAACCTTCCTAACACTGAGACCCTTTCATACAGTTCCTCATGGTGTAGTGACCCCCCAACAATAAAATTACTTTTGTTGCTACTTCATAACTATAATTTGCTACTGTTATGAACCATAATGTAGATATCTGATATGCAGGATAGCTGATATGTGACCCCCCTCAAAGGGGTCATGACCCACAGGTTGAAAAGCCTTGTGTTGTGGGAATTTGGGGTGTGCGTTAGTTAAATGCGGATCCCATGGAGGAATAAGCACAGGCCATGGGCCTTAATGCAGCTCCTGCCTACAGCCCAGATTCACCGCTGCCATCATCCGGGTGCCAGAGTCTAACCATCACCCCGCACCCACCCCGCACCCACCCCGCACCCACCCCACCCCCTCAAGCTCAGTCAAAGGTGGGAAGACACATCTAGAACTCCTTCCTGTGGCTAGGAAAACTGTCCACACTGTTTCAGCACGTAACTTGTGGCCAATTGGCCACTTCCTCTGCCCGAGGCTGCCATGGGTCCCTGCTCATCTGTCCATCTGCCGGCTGTGGGCTTCCTCCTAAGGCTCCGAGGAGGAACTGAGAGAAGGACAGGAAGAGAGGCTGCAGAAAGGGTTTGAGATTCTGACTCTGGACAGCCGTGCTCCACGGAGGGGCCCCACCCCCAACCAGGCTTGGCTGGTTCCAGGACCCAATACCCACCCACGTGGGTCCAGGCCAGGGGCTGACTGGCAGCAAAGGACTGAACCCACACAGACAGCTGTGTGCCCTGGTTCCCCCACCCAGCTGCCTCAGCTCCTCCCGGGATCAGCTCACGTGCCGTTAGTGCCTCGCCAGGACTTCTGCCCACCGTGCAGAGAACTGGACCTGGGAGCAAGTGGGCGGGAGAGCCTCAGCTGCGGGCTTGGGCTTAAGGTACATCTGAGTGCTGTCACGGAGCTTCACAAGAATAAAGGCACCAAGAGACTAGCCCTGCCCCAAGAGGATAGGCATGAAGATTCAGGACCAGGGCTTAAAGCCCACCCAGGGAATGTCAGCTAGGGGATCTGTGTGTCTGAGGAACCCAAAACTGCAGGCAGTTGGTCATTATGGAACCCCAGAGGCAAGAGAACACCCTAGGCAAAAGAGAGACAGGAGAACCCTGGAGAGAAGGAGGTTCGGCACATTGCAGTTGCCACCGTTGTGCCCGTGAAGCTCAGTCCATTCCTGCTGAGTCTCCCTGGCTTGCAGCCTCCCTGAGACTGGGTTTCATGGAACTTGACAGTCAGCAGGACTAGCGAAGAAGATGGGCCTCCCGCAGCTGGCTCCATCCCACCTTCTGATTGTGGATTTCTCTGGCTGAGGCCAGATTTCAGCCACACGTTTCTCCCCACACCTGCCCCTGCATCCTTTCTCCTCTGCCACTTTGCCATGCTCCTCGCAGACCCATGTTCAAGGCAGCGTGGCCACTGCTCAAGACACTTGGACACACTTCTAATGGAGCCCAGAGCTCGGGCCAGCATGGGCAAGAAACCCATCTCTGGCGCTGGAGAGATGGCTCAGTGGTTAAGAGCACCGGCTGCTCTTCCAAAGGTCCTGAGTTCAATTCCCAGCAACTATATGGTGGCTCACAACCATCTGTAATGAGATCTGGCGCCCTCTTCCGCCGTGTGGGCATACACGGAGGCAGAATGTTGTATATATAATAAATAAATAAATCTTTATTAAAAAAAAAAAAAGAAACCCATCTCCTCCCAGCAGTGACAGTTGGCAGCGGGAGGGCTGTCCAACACACTTTTCATGCCTCCATGTGGTCCAACGGCTCCCCCAACTTCTCATGGCAGACCCAAGGCCTAACCTAGCCCTCTGGACACAGGACAGTCTCGTGAGAGGACTCTAGGCAAGCTGGGGAGTTCATATCCCTGGTGAGACTCCCGCTCTCTTTGCTTTGGCCTCCCAGAGCATGAGGTTAAAAGTAAATGAACCAAAGCTGGAACCCAGCCATTCTGTGGGCTAGTCATCAGCTTCTGGCTTGGCTGCTGTGGTCCAGGACTGTTTTCCAGCAACCAAGCCAGAACAGATCACAGGTCAGGCCCACAGAACCAGTCCAGAGCGGATCAACGTTGCTGAACTTAGACTGGCAATTACAACAATCACAGCCTGCCCAAATTGGGCCCTATCTGACTGCCACTGTGGGAGGTGATCCACCCAGTCACCCCAGGAATTGCTCTCAGCCTCTCATGATAACACGAGGGATACTATTTTCCCCAACTATGCCAAGGCCCTAGAGCTGAGCACCCCAAAACTTTGCCGGGCCTCTTGAGGACCACAACCTCACCATGGTTCTGTTTGCGTATTTATAAAGTGGAGGATAACATGGCAAATAACCCACATCCCTAAATTAGATCAGAAATATTCTGGAAAAGCTCAGCCCCTGGCCTTATCTTGGAGGAAGGGATAGGGCAGAGCCAGAGCCTTGGCCTGACTAAGGCAGGTGGCCACTGCTACCACTGCTCTTCAGCTGAGACTCCAAGGTTAGTGAGGGGCAGGCGTGCCCAGCTGGCCACCCGGAAGGATGGAGCACTTTGACACGTTCATTACCATCTGATCATCACGTTTGGGGCCCTGTCCCTTCTGCGGTGGCTCTCCAGAGGGACCCCACACCACCATAAGCAAGCGATCTTCAGCAACACATGCCCAGCCAGCAGGCCACAGGCTTTGGCCAGCAAGAGTGGCCAGGCAGACCAGGTACCCACAACTCCTCCAAGTCCTCAGAGGGAAATGGCTGTACCTACCCTCCAAGTCCTCAATGATATCCAAAGCCGAGCTCCAGGAGAAGCGTTCCACGGCCCCCAGCTCCAGCTGGGTCAGGTCATGGGGCAGGGTCTCCAGCTCATAGGTACCCCGCTTCCTCCAGTAAAGAAACATGTTGACACCTGGGGTTCCCCTTGCCTGGCCCGCACCTTCAGAAGCTGGGTGGTTCTGGGGACCTCAGTCCCTGAGGCCTGGACACGGTGGTACCAGGATGCAGAGGGGCTGCAGAGACCAGTGGGGCAGGCTTTGGGCTGGTAATCATGGCCCTCCCCAGGGAGGAAAAGGAGCATTCTGGGAGTGGCCGAGGGCCTTACATCTGACCAATGGCCGGGGCCCCTGCCTCACACAAAGCCCCTTTCTTCCCCTCCTACAGACATTTTACACATTTTGCCTTCCCAGCCCCCTCAGAGCCCCCACCCAGGAGATGGGCCGTCCGTCTGGGGATGCAGAGGCCTGGAAAAAAGTGCAATTGTTTCCTGTCTCTTTGCTAAGATAAGTTTTCAGAGGAGAAAAATGTGCTGCCCCAGGGACAATTCCAGGTCTCCACCATGACCTATGACCGGAACAGCCCCAGCTAGCTCACAGATTCTCAATGAAAGATGAAGGCACCTGTGGGAATGCCAGGAGGTACCCTGAGAGCATGCTCCAGGCTCTCCCCGGGAATTTCAGATATATCTCCTGCCTCTGTTGAGCGAAGGGTTTCCAGGGAGTCAGAGGGCACAAGCCCTTGCCTAGTAGGCCAGTTATGCCAGCTGGACTTTTTCTGAGCTTCTCTTCACCCTTCACCAGGCTCCCAATCACCATCTCCTTCCTCAGCCTGTGACCCACAGCAGGGGATGAGCACTGGGTGGTTGAGCTTGGGCCAGGGACCCCTAGCATCATCAGGGAGCCTCACTGTTCCCTGCAGCATAGGCCCCAGGTCAGGATCTGAGAAGGACGGAGCGGGAGTGAGGGCTCGGTGGTACAGAGTTTAAGACAGGAACCAGGGGAGGAGGGGTAGGACCTAGCTGCATGTGTGTGGTCTGGCTTCCGTCTCAGGCAGGGGTGGGGGTGACAAGAACCATGGAGGAGAAGAACCAACAGCATAGGTTGGAAAAGAGAAAGTTCCAGGCCAGAACTTGTCTCAGCAACAGCAAAGCTGGGCATGGAGAATCAAGTCTGAAATCCCAGAAGTCAGAAGGCTGGGACATGAGAATCCAGAGCCCCAGGCCCTGGGAGGTTGGGTCAGTAGAATCGAGAGCCCCAGGCCAACTGGAGCTATATGGCAAGATCCTGTCTCAAAAAAGAAATACCAGGCCGGGCGATGGTGGCGCAGGCCTTTAATCCCAGCGCTCGGGAGGCAGAGGCAGGCGGATCTCTGTGAGTTCGAGACCAGCCTGGTCTACAGAGCTAGTTCCAGGACAGGCTCCAAAGCCACAGAGAAACCCTGTCTCGAAAAAAACAAAAAAAAAACAACAACAACAAAAAAGAAATACCAGTAACAAAAATCTGAAGCTGGAGACGAAGACAGCTCGGCATTTAAGAGTTCTTGCTGTTCTTCCAGAGGACACGAGTTCAATTCCCAGCACCATGTCAGGCAGTTCACAACTGTCCGAAACCCCGGTTCCAGGGGACCTCACACCTCCGGCCCCTGTAGGCACTGCTGCACGCATGTGCACACACCGTGCAGACATGCACATAATTCAAATTAATAGAAATCCATCCTTTTTGTTGTTTCTCTATGTTACCACGGTGTCTGTCCTGGAACTTGCTTTGTAGACCAGGCTGGCCTCGAACATACAGAGATCCCCCTGTCTCTGCCTCCCAAGTGCTAGGATTAAAGGTGTGTGCCACCATGCCTGGCATAAAAATAATGTTAAAACAACAGCAAAAGCCAAACCAGCCTTTTCCCTCATTCAAAAACTGAAGGCAAATGGATCACTAGAAGGTCTCCTGGAGTCACCCCCAAAAATTCATCCCTGGAATCTCTCACCATGTCTTTTGAAACCACCAAGACCTTATCCCAAAATCCAGGCTGAAAATTTTCCCAAGTATTTCTCCATCAGTAGGCAAAGACACAGGCTTCATGGAGTTGTGTTAAGCCATCTTTTTTTGTTTTATTTTCTGTGTCTGGGTGTTTAGCCTGCATGTATGTCTCTGTACCGCTTGTCCCGGTGCTCTTGGAGATCAAAAGAAGGCACGAATCCCCGAAACTGGAGTTACAGTGGCATGAGCCACCATGTGGCTGCTGGGAATTGAACCCAGATTCTCTGGAAGAACAGCCAGTGCTCCCACCCCGAGTGACCTCTCCATCCTCTGGAAGAGCAGCCAGTGCTCCCACCCCTGAGTCACCTCTCCATCCTCTGGAAGAGCAGCCAGTGCTCCCACCCCAAGTCACTCAAGATTCTGGACCCAGTAAAGAAAGCATGCCATGCTTTGTACACAAAAATGAAAAGATCAGGGGTACAATACCTGCAAAATACCATAACACATGAAATATTTAAAAATATACAAAACGTTAATACTTCTCAAAAAGCAAAGCACAATAAACCAAACAAAAGCCCTACTACGAGTTTAAGGCAGCCCACGGCGGCTCTCCCGAGAGAGGAGGGCACCTTCTCTACACCACCCGCAAAGAAGAAGCTGAACTCTGAGCAGAAGCTGGGGGCATGGAGAGATGTCTTGGAGACATCTTGCCGCTGCATAGGACCTGGGTTACATTCCCAGCATCTTGTGGTGACTCACAACCATCTAACTTCAGTCCTGGGGGTTCGGAGTCCCTTTTCTGCTCTCTGTAGGCCACAGGCACTCTTGTCGTGCAAAGCAGCCACACACATAAAAAACATTAAAAAACAAGTAGAACTTGGATTTAAACTCAGGACTGTCCATCTTGAAAGCCAACCGGAGGCCAGGAGACAGGACAGCAAGGTGGCCGTTAGAAATCCAGACTTGAGGCGGGCCTGGCGGCACAGGCCTGCAACCTCTTCCATTACTCAGGAAATTGAGGAGGAGGACCCCAAGTTCAAGCCAGCCTGGGCAACTTAGTGAGGCCCAGTTTCAAAACAGAAAATACCAAAAGGAGGTTGGATATACAGTTCAGTTGGCAGAGAGTGATTGCCTGTTGGGTACAAAACCGTAAACTTGATTTCCGTTATTGTATAAGCTGGGTGTGGTGGCTCATGTCTTTAATCCCGGCCTTGGGAGGATCAGAAGTTTAATGTCACCCTCAGTTACACAGCAGGTTCGAGGCTACGTGAGACACCCCCCTAACACACACACACACACACACACACACACACACACGTGTGCAAATATAAAAATGGCTGAGACTAGAGCACAGAGATAGTGTGGGGCCAGGGCGCAGTGGGAGCGTGGGGCCAGGGCACAGTGGGAGCGTGGGGCCAGGGTGCAGTGGGAGCCTGGAGCCAGGCACAGTGGGAGCGTGGGGCCAGGGCGCAGTGGGAGCCTGGAGCCAGGCACAGTGGGAGCGTGGGGCCAGGGCGCAGTGGGAGCGTGGGGCCAGGGCACAGTGGGAGCCTGGAGCCAGGCACAGTGGGAGCGTGGGGCCAGGGCGCAGTGGGAGCCTGGAGCCAGGCACAGTGGGAGCGTGGGGCCAGGGCGCAGTGGGAGCGTGGGGCCAGGGCGCAGTGGGAGCGTGGGGCCAGGGCACAGTGGGAGCGTGGGGCCAGGGCGCAGTGGGAGCGTGGGGCCAGGGCGCAGTGGGAGCGTGGGGCCATGGCACAGGGGGAGTGTGCTAGGATGCATGAGGCTTTGGGTTAAATCCCAAGCACTACAAAAGGGGGAAGGGGAAGGAAATAAAAGAAATTCAGACTTCAGTGTGGTAAAGGCACCCTGCACTGGCTCCCAGCCATTCGCCGTCTGACCCTGCCTCTAAATCCTCAGCCTGTCAGGTCTGAGGGACCTGGCCTGGGCGTGGCAGTATCAGCCCTTCCAGATCCGATGCCTGCAATAGAGAGGCACAGGCAGAGGGAACTAGCTGCTTTGCTAAGGGTGGTAGAAGGGTTACCCCAGGCTGTAGGGGAAGGGGAATGGCAGAAATGGCCATCCAGGCAGGCTACACACCCTCCAGCTGAGGGCTAAAGTGCCAAGAGGCAGCACAGGCCTGCCTGCCTCCCTGCCTTCCAGCCTCACAGGGTTGTGGTGGACAAGCACAGGTCCCAAGCCTAGATCACAGGCATCTACATAGACCCGACATGAAGCTATGGGGTGCTGGGGGTGTCCTGGCTCATGTTCAGTACAACGTGGGTCTGAGCTTTCAGCAATGAGACTGTTCAGTGCCCACCAGCACCCTCTCCAGTAAAGGCCAGAGCTGCAGAACCGGCAGCAGGACTGGGCAGGAGCCACACCTGCCTCTGATTTCAGAGTAGCCAGTCCAGAGCGGGTCACCAGATGGGGAGGAGCTTCTTTCCTACCCTTCCACAGACAAAACACAGGGCCCTGCTCCAGCTGGTGTGCACCCACCTGAGAGGTCACAGTCCTGGGCTCACAGAGCCCTCTTGGTCACCTCGGGGTACAGAGCTAGGGGCCAGAGCAAGTCAGGTGACCCTGAAATGGAAGCCCATTCATTCAGCCCTAGGCTTACCTCAAATTCAGGGCTCCTGGGACCTCTGTTTCCACGTGGAGTGTGGACCAATTGGTAGTTTCCACTTGGGCCTCCTGGGGCTGGAAACCTTGGACCCCAGAGGCTTGCCCCTCGTCCAGATTTCTGGATCCTTCCCAGTTCCAGTGAAAAGCTGCTGGCCCAGGAGTCAGAGACAGGACAGACAAAAGTACAGGGAGCTTGGAGACCCCAGTGCCTGGCAGTGGCATCAGACTGGAGAGAGGTTGAGTCCTCTGCCAACCACAGCTGTTTCCCTACAGTCGAAAGTGCCTTCTGAGGGCCTTGCCAGGGACCACTGCAAGGTCTTGCTGAGTAAGGGGTCGAAAGAGGAAGAGGTGCAGGTGGCCAGAGCTGGCCAACGCCATGAAATGACACAGCTGTCATCCTTGGCTCTGGGCAGTCTTTTGTGAGTGAAGCCACGGGGGTCCTTTCAGTCATTCTGGATGACCTCTGACCCTAAGAGCTGGGCCACTGTAGGCAAGTCTTTCTGGGTTGGACTTGGCTCTGAGTCCTG